GAAAAAACGGCCCAGTCGCGCCCCCAGGAGCCCGATTTTCGCCGGCCTGGGCCGAAAACAGCGTTGGCGGACCCAGGCCGAACCCGACACGCTGGGGGGCGCCGGGGCGAGCTGTTTTGACGCGAAAAAGCCGCGGGCCAGCCGCGCCAGCGACACGGCGCCTCGTCTTCCCCCAACGGCCTCGGTTCCCGCGGGGAATCAATGGCAAGGCTGCCGCCGGTCAGCCTTGCCATTGATTTCTCACGGGCGGCGCATCACGGGACGGCGCGCTGACGCCTCCCCTCCCTCGCACGCGTTCACACGGGCGCGGCGCGGCTATATAGCCGGCGGCCTCACTTGCTGTGCCCACACCAGCCCCGCCCCTCGCCGCCGCCCAGCCCCTCCCTCTACCTCTCCCGAGCGTCGCCGCCCAGCCCCTCCCTCTCCCTCTCTACCTCTCCCGAGCCCGTCGCCATGGCAGAGCGTTTCCCCGGAGACGAGGCGGCGGCCAACGGCTTCGGCCGCCGTTCGTTGCGCGAACAGGAGTCATGGCTCCTGTTTCAGGCGAACATCCCGGCGCCGCCGGACATGCGTGCCAGGCCGACAGGGTGGAGGCTCAACGATGGGGGAGTGCCCGTTCCCCCGTTGCCCGACGCCGTGGCCAAGCCAAATTACTTCGCCGAGGAGGTCGAGGTCGTCCGTGCCTCCCTCACCGACGCCCAGCTCTCCCTCCCCCAGTACGCCCCCGACAACCACGCGGCTTGGGCGGCGTACTTCGAGTGCCGCCAGCGGCAGCGGTTGGCATCCACCAACGATGCGCCAGTGGTCGGCGGCCAGAAGAATAGCGAGGGGCGCCACCTGTGGTGGGGCGTCCCCGGCCGCACACTCGAGATCGTGTTGACGCACCTCGAGGGCGGCAACAACCTGCCGTTGGCTTACCCGGCGAGGGCGGCCGCCCTGGCGCACCACCGACGTGCCGGGCCATGGGCGCCAAGGAGGTTCGGGACCTCCTCCTCTTCTTCCTCCTCTCGATCTTCCTCGCACTCCTCCGGTGCCCCGGCCCTGCTCGGCGTCAAGACCAAGCCCGCGGAGGAGACGACGCTCGGCCGGTGCACTCGCAGCGCCGGCATCGTCATCAACGAGGGCGGCCGGCGCGCCTCCTCGTCGGCTCCTCCTCTGCTCTTTGTCATGCCAAAGACGGAGCCGGGGCTCGCGCCGGTGAAGACGGAGCTCGACGACGACGACGCGGCCCTGGTTTGGGCGCGCAGGGACTCCATAGCGATGGAGAAGGAGCGTCTGGAGAAGGCGAAGGAGCGCCAGTGGACCGCCCTGCGCCGCTTCGTGGAGCACCGACGCGGCCGCGACGAAGGCGGGGTCATCGTCATCTGCGACAGCGACGACGATGACGCGCCACCGCCACCAGCCCGTGTTGGCGACGCCGGTCAGGGGTCCACCAGGGACAACCGCGTCAAGGAGGAGAAGTCCGACGACGGCAGCGACGATGGCGGTGGCAACGGCGACTACTCGGCGTTCAGCCAGTTTCTCTTTTAGTTTATTAGTTATCTATTTTCCTATGTAATGAAAACCGGCAAACATGTCTAATATATGCCCAAGTTTGCCGAAATTCATCGTGTTTCACCGAACTTCGCCGAACTGTGCTGAACTTTGCTAAACAAATTTTATTTTCAAACACGCCTGGGGGCGGCCCTGGGGCCGACGGCTAGGGACCAACTCGCCCTCAGGCCCAATTTTTGCGCCGGCTCACCCCCAGGTTTCGATTTTAGGCGCCCCCTGGGGGGCCAACGGCTGGAGATGCTCTAAGAGATGTGACCGTCAGCATCATCTCCTCACTGACGTGTTTGCGTGGCATGACGCCATTCTTCCTTCCTACGCCCGGCGCCCGTAATGTCAGGCATAGGTTCAAACCCTCTCAAGTTTTCTTTGTTTGCTATCCATCGGAAATTATTGTTCTATTGAAAACCTATACCATTGTACTCCCTCCATCTATATATATAGAGCCTAATGCATTATTCGACATTGACTTTGACTATTAATAAAAATAATAGTATATGAGATGTATAATATGAAAATTATATCATTGGAATCTCTTTTCACGTACGAATTTAACGATATGCTTTAGCTTGCATGTCATATATTATTGCTCTAACATGTGATCAAAGTTAGGCTCGTAAAATGCATTAGGCCCTATATAGATGGATAGAGGGAATACTATAAATTGGGCAATCATCTTGTTTGGTACTCTCCGCAGATTGAAGCAAGAAATATTGTACTTAGTCCTGTCCATGTGAAAGAACCGTGTGTCTTTCTGTTAGCAACTGAAAAATACATCACATGAATATATGCTATCAAGAACAACAATGTACAAACAAATGATTAGTAGACAAAGATGACGCTGTTTAGGGTACAGATTCATAATACATGTATTAGAATTCAAGTACATGAATATATACCAATATAAAAAGACCCAAAGGGGCAGATCCTACTAATCTCAGCCCATCAAACCAGCTCAATCCAACCGCCTAGACTGCTTCAATGGCGAGTGGTCAACATGTTTAGCACACAATTAATATCATACCAAATTATGTTTGGCGAGGTGTCATGTGTGCATGTTGAGAGTATTAAGATTGCAGGGATAAACTATTTATGTATATAGGATTATGTGGCAATTCCCACGAAATCATCACCATGTCTGAAAATAGTTTTCTTTTTTTAGACAATGAACGATGGACAAAAAAGAAGTTCTATGACCAGGCACAAATTCAAGTCCCCTGATTTTAATTAATAATGTTCCATATACAGCGAGCCATGTGTATTTTGTGATATCCTTTGCTGCATATAGAAAAGATTGTGTTTTGATGATTGATGGTTTCAGAGTTACGGCGAGGATGAGGGATTGTACCTTGTAAGCGATTCAGGCTACTACATCTACCTGGTGCAAGTTTATCAAGCCGCATAGGGATGTAAACCGGGTTCCATTTAAACCCACTGATGATCTAATAGTCCAATGATTTTTTTTTTGGAAAATGGACCATGGAAGTAGCTAAAGCTAACTAAATGGGACTTGGGAACGCCGCTTATTTGTCATTTACATCCCTCGCATCATGTGTTCTCCTCCGAGGAAGAAGGTGATATTTTTTTATAGCGCATATGTGCAAGCATGCTAGATTGATGTTGCAGTAATTGGTTTGAGTTCAAGCATTTCTTGAAGACAAATGCAAAGATGATTTATTGTTGTTGGTACTACAACGTTAGATTTAGTCTGTTAGGCATGTGATTGCTAGGATCCTTCTTAGTACAAGGTGAACTCTAAGCTCATTTGTATTGTGAATTTATAAGATCATTTGTTATTTGCTTGGACCTGTTTGAATTTGGTGAAATAATTGTGTTACCGTTTTCATTTCCTTTCTTCCTGTTCTTATGCATATAATACTATAATACAAGACAATAGCTTCCTCCACCATCAACTATTGCTGGATCAAAAGCGCATGCAACAACCGGATAGCCCTATCTCTCTCTATCCTTCAAAGGACAAAGAGGATGATCTCAACTAAGTAACTGGATTCTTTTATGAAAAATTGGCAATCATGTCATATCATATTTCCAAGGTGGTAACTGCATGAGTTCATCATGTTTGAACTGATTATTGGGCACATGTTGCTTTATTATGACAAAATAGATACTCAAGGTCTGCACGTATTTTACCAGGAAAATACCAACCTTGATATACATACCCATCATACTTTTTAAAATATGGTGTGGTTAGATCTCAGTCGACAGAGACTTGATTAAAATTAAAAAAAAGGACGAAGAATGATTTTTTAAAAAAAATGCACGAATGTCCACAAAATATAAGATCTCACGAATATAGAATCGACTGAGATTTAGCAATCCCGTTTATAAAAATTAGCGAACGCAGCAACGCGTTTCATCATGTTCTAGTTTTATGATAGAATGAGAAGGCATGGGAGGTGGGGTGGGTGACGCATGCAACTCTGCCAAAAGCTAGCATGCATGAACCCCAGTGCATCGATTAAAGGTTAATGACATAAACTAGTGCACTAATCTTGAAGCAAATGGATGGACGCACGCATCGCCCTGTGGTTATCCTTACGAATTTCTCAACTCTCACCGCCAGGTTAGCTTGCACTTGGTTCTTGGTTCTCGGTCAAAGTCAATAATATACTCATTTTGTTTTGGCCGATATGGTATCATCTACTAGGAGTATGTGAAGAATTTCTTTCCATCAGTTTTGGTTGAAAGCCTTGTCAAAGCTGGCGACATAATGTCGACATCCCTTGCGATAAACACTCACGCTTTCCGCACCTCCCAAACTTTCGGTCCAAAACAGGTTTTCTTCAGATACGCTACTGGGTTGGCATTACCTAGTTTGGGAAATTATATCGTTTCAAACTCGACGACCCAATAGGTACGTCTGTACATATGTCATGGAGCAAAACTGTTTCAAGTTGTAGGCTCGCGACTAGGCCCATTTGGCGAGCATGGACATGAGGCCTGCACCGACCAGCATGGAGACGTTGATGCCGAGCTGCAGCTTCCCCCTGCTCTGCACCTTGGGGTTCATGAAGTCCTCGGCGAGGAGGTCGACGAGGGCCATGTAGACGAGGATCCCCGCTGCCACGGAGTTGAGGCCGCCCTCCACCACCAGCGCCGTCGGGCTGTTCTCGTTGTACACTCGCGATATGCCATAGCCGACGGCGATGCCCACCGGCGTTGTCAGGCAGAAGAAGAGGATCATGGTCACGATGGACCTGGCCTTGAACTTTGCCTGCATCATCGTTAGAAAAAAAAATCAGGACTAAATTCAGTTGTATGAGGTTATAAAACAGCATGGTGCTAACAGTCATGGTCTTGTGAGGATATTCTTGGTTAAAATGAGTGGGTCAAAAGTAGCAGGAGATTCTCCTGAATTTGTTAAAGCAGGTCACTTTTTAGTTTTCGAACATCTGGTGTCATATGCAGAATGTAGTTACGCAGTTACTGATTCATTTGATTTATTCTCCAGGCCATAAAAAGTGCTCAGCTGCACTTTCTTCGCTCTCATGATCACTAGACATCGTTGCCGAAAAGAAAGATTAGCAGACATATATTCTCTAGATATGTATAAATGGTTCTCTAGAACTTTACACGGAGAAGCATAATAGAATTCTCCCCTTTCCGAAGCAGAAGTCCTAGTGTTTATTTAGATGGGCGTTACCATTTCTGATGGAGACCACACATACAAAGTTCCAGTTAGGCATGTATAGCCATCCTTTAAAATGTTCGTACATGCATGGAAAGACCTCTATTGTTTTATTTTTCTACAAAAATAGGCAAGCAAGTCAAGTAGTGGACTAGTGGCACCTTTGCATAACATGCACCCCACGAGTTACTGGTCAAATATGCTTGGTTTTTATCAAGATATATTTGGTATTTCCAGCAGATATTTCGGTCTGTATAAGGCACATCTAGATACGCCCTAAGTATTGCACATGTAAGTGACACAATCAATATAAGAAGAAAAAAGAAAAATACCTGCACAAATTTTCACGTAAAATCAATGGTATAGGACTTAGATGTGCAATACTTAATGCACATGCAGATGTGCATTAGCAAACCCGTTCTTTTTCTCTATGCATGGATGCTTTTTTTTGTAATAACTAGGACAAGGCTTGTGCGTTGCAATGTGATATAAAATCAATGGTATAGGCCTTAGATGTGCAATATTTAATGCACATCTAAATGTGCCTTAGCAAACCCGTTCTTTTTCTCTATGCATGGATGCTCTTTTTGTAATAACTAGGACAATGCTCGTGCGCTGCAATGAGATATAAATATTCTAGTATGTTAGATTGTGATTTAACTGCCCATATTTATGCGATTGTGTAAATAAATGTTTATCGAATTCTGCCCGTGATTCACCTTATATTTTGATGAGAAGTATGGTAAATAAATTAAAGTAGAATAGGTTCGGAAGGTTAGTAAATTAGGTGATTGATTATCATACGAAAAAGGTTGAACTGAGAGGGTGCGAAGAAAAGTGAAATATAAAACCTTACGCTCGCTTTAAAAAGGTGATACCTTATATTCTTTCTAAGTATAGAGATAGAGATAGAGATATAAAGATAAAGATAGAGAGAGTGATAACTTCTGAAAAACTGTGACAAACTTCATAACGTCTATGGGTATACCTGAACTATGCAGCCACCAAGGCCCATTCCCTCGAACATCTGGTGGAAGCTCAAGGCGACCACGAGAGGTTTGATTGTTTCCGGGTCCTGAGACGCGCCGAGGGAGATGCCGATGATCACCGAGTGCACCACAATGCCCAACTCAAGTACCTACAATAATACAACCTCGTCATCGTCGTGTCACAAAAAAACTGCACACACGACAGTACAAGCATTACGCGATGACTCGTACCAACCTGAGAGATTACGCGATGCCGGATCGTGTCCTTTTCGTCCTCGGCGCCGCCGACGGCCGCAACGAGCGCCGCCGACCCGTGGGCGTGGCCGTGGGTCGCGTGCGTGTGGACGTGTACCTCGTGCTCCCCGCCCTCGTGACGGCGCGCTTCCTCGCTGGCGGCGGCAGCGGCCTGTTTCTCCTCGTCCACGACGGCGGCGCTGCTGCTTACCGCCCCGTGGCCGTGCGCTCCGTCCTTGTTCAGGTGGGCGCGCGTGAAGTACCCCGTGGCGACGGTGTCGACGACGAGCGTGCCGATGGCGCCGACCATGGCCCCTAGCCCGGCGAACGGGAAGTCCTTCCACGGCCCATCGGAAGGCAGGCAGTCCGACGTGAGGTTCTCGAAGGCGTCCGGGAGGATGTGGATGAACCCCGTCGCGAGGATGACCCCCGCCGCGAACGCCTTGACCAGGAAGAAGACGTCGCCCTCGGGCCGGAGCGCGGGCACCCGCCGCCCCAGCACGGGCAGGGAGCAGCCCAGCGCCCCGCAGACCAGGATGGAGAAGAAGGCCGCGATTTTGAGAGGGTTCGCCCGCGCGCGGTCCTGCGCCGCCGACTCCGGCGACCCGCAGTCGTCATCGCCCCGCACAGCGGCGACCAAGAGCAGCGCCACGACGGCGGCGAGGAGGACGCCGGCGCTCGGCTTCATGTCTAGACTATCGTGATGCACTTGAGAGCGCGACAACGCGGGGGAGATCAGGAACTGGGAGAGCGCGCTTCTTGGCAGCTTAGCGACGCTGGCTGCCGGGTTTATATATAGATGGATGGAGGAAACAGCTCTGCTGCAGACATCATGTCGCGGTTAATTAGGGTTTATAGGGTCAATTACCTGCGGAATTAGGCGATCCCTTCAGTTGAAAACGACTATCTCTCACAAGGTGACGACATGCATGAGAAAACACGGTGTAGCACAGGTTGTCAGCGTTGTAAGCGCGCTCGGTATAACCGACGGGTGATGTGTTAATTAGCGAATCAGATTGTCTTCCTGATTTATTTCGGTGTTTAGGGGGAAATTACTCACAATGACGACACTTTATCGTCCAATGAGGAGGCAAGTTTGCTGGCACGCAACAACGTACTGCCTGCTGGCCTCGTAATTCTCCTATGGAGATAGCTAGCATAGTTGAAACTGAATGTAATCACCATGATTGATTAATGAAAGTTTCTTTTCCACAAAAAGAAATTGCTGGCACGCAAGCGCGGTATGTAGTTGTCCATCGTACGTGCGCGAGGGAAGACTCTCAAAAAGGTGTTCATGATCTAAAAAACGGTTTTGCTACGGCGTATATAGATTTGCTCTAAGTATTGCACATCTAATTTTTATGTCATTGATTTTAGTCGGAGGTCCCTGTGGCTATTTTTTTCGTTCTTTTCCTTTCCTTTTTTATACTTGATTGAGTCATTTATATGTGTAATAATTAGGCCACATCTAGATGTGCCCTAGACATACCGTTTAAAAACATATACTCCCTCCATCTCAAAATAAGTGTCTCAACTTTATGCTAACTCTAGTACAAATTTGTACTAAGGTCAAGACACTTATTTTGAGACGGGGGGGGTATAAATTTTTAAAAATATCCATAAAGTTCAAAATTGTTTGCAAATTGGAAAAAATATACATGAATTTTAAAATATGCTCATGAATTTTGAAATCATTCAAAATTTAAAATTGTTCCTGAATTTAAATATATTTGTGTATTTCAAATTGTTTATGATTTTTGCACATGTTCATGAATTTTAAAAAAGTGTTCATGTTTTTTTTGAAATATTCATTAATTAAAAATGAAAAAAGGAAAACATTTATATAAAATATATAAAAACAATATAAATAAAGGAAAGAAAAAACGGAAACCCGATACAAAAATAGAAAAGGGAGGAAAAACGAAAATCTGACACGGGGCCTTCTTAAACCTTCCCAAACCCGGGTGGAAGGTCCTGAGAAATAATGCGCTTAAATGGGGCGGCCCATTACCATAACAACACTCGCGAGGGTGCGCATTGTATAATGAAGTTATATCACACTTAACTTAAGTTGTCCTCGCATAAGTTTTCCACGTAAGGATTGCCGACGTTGGTTCCCCTTGTTTTTGGGTGCCTTCCGGTAACGGCGATGTGAGGGCAACTCGGGTTGGGTTTGTGCGTGTGGTGTGTGTCGCCTTACCTCTTACTAGGGTTCGGCCTAGGTTTTCAGTTGACGTTGGCGAGAAGATGGCTTCATCAATGATGTGGAGTAATATTATCCCCGTTATCGTCGTTTCAACAATGCTTATTCACATCAGTGAAGGTTGTCTAGAGCTCCGACCAAAGCCAAGTCAGGCCCTTTTTCTATGTTATGTTTGGTGAGTTTGGGCTGCATTGCTCAGTGGAGTGGATGGTGCCAATTCATACCTTAGTACTTCTGACTACTCCTTCGTTCGATGATGTGTGACCAAGTTTGAGCTCCTCAACAAGCTAATGCGGTCGGGTCTCTTCAATTCTTGTTAGTTGGATCTGGGATGGTTCTTCAGGCCCCATCGTGTCTTTTTCTTCGCGACGACGATCTGAATCCTCAGTTCGTTGTTGCCAGCCTCTTCTGGTTCCGACCGGCGACTTCCTGGTCAATGTGTCATCAACATTACAATGGCCCGAGGGGTTCCGAAAATGCTGGAAGTGGCATCGTTGCTCATTGCGTGTCGTCGCGGGTGCATGACTGCTTTTGTAAAGAGGCTTTAGAAGAATTAGGCAATTTAAATATATGATGGTAGCCTTCTACTAAAAATAATAATATTTTAAAAAAATGTTGTTGCAAGTGTTATTTATTTTCTGGTGCCTTCGCTCTGACTAGTAGTTTAGGTTAGGTTTTTTTCTTATTCAAGTTTGTCTTTCGCACTCTGATCCTCTTCAAGTTTGTTCGTCTGGAGTAGTCGACGAAGCTCCCAATGATGCATTGAGATTATAGTTTCTCACCATGCGTGCATGATGCCGAGATTTGATGTCAGGTGTTTCAAATCTTGAAATTCCAGGGTTCAATAGTGACAACTGCACCCCCAATACACTTTTTCTTAGGGGCACATGCACGAAGAGCTTTCACCAACAAGTTTAAGCCGGCTGCGGTAGGGAATCGGCGACAGCAGTGCGTCCGCGACTCGTTCTGGCGGTGGTAGTAGTTGTCCCGTGGTCTAGAATCTCAATATAATTTTCATTATGGTTGTGGTGATTTGTATTTCCAATGAATTTTTTTACACTAATATAATATAGATCTAAACCCTTTTCATAAAGAAAGACTACAAAGTAGCTACATGTGTTTTTTTGGAAAATAAACAGATAAACGTTGCGGGTCATTGTTTTCCTGCACTTAAATGCACACAAACCGGGCTCAAAAGGAAAAAGGGAAGGAAAAAATGTCCCAGCCGGCCTCTGGTCGAATGTCGATAGGGTGTCGACACTGTGTGCGCGCTGCGGAAGAGGAAACAGCAAACGGCAAGCCCGTGTAAACCGAGTGGAAGCGCTTCCTTTCGGGTCCTAAACGGCGGCCGACCGCTCCGGTTGCCATCACCTTTCGGGTTCTTGTTCCAAAGTAGGCCGAGGCGATAGTATTGGTTGGGGAGGATAGCAAGCTACTCGATCGCTGCATTGTGCTCTAGCTGTAGATGTACTGATATTGTACACCTGCATTGCTGAATGGCCAACTTCATTTAATTTGGTCAGGACAGCACACCACACCGGCTCGATTGCTCCGAACACAAAGCAACTAGTCCAGCTAAGTTCAGGCTACTGCTGTTCGTTCACACATGAACAATGAACCAGTAATAACTAATATAACGATATTAAGCTTGACATTCACACTTGCTGTAGTTTCACCTTTACAAGAACCTCTCCACCTTGGTAATTGGTATGTGGCGCTCATCTCCTCCGTGCGGTCAACGGAGTACATAGGTCAACGTACGTCTCCGGCCTGCTAGTCACCGGAGTCTTCACACTTCACTTTGCAGAACGACATGCATGCATGGCATTCTGCCTCGCGGGACATCGCGAGTGCGATCGATTGCATGCAAGTGGTGTGCCGAATGCAATGTGAGCCGTTGCAATTTGGTCGCCCATTTTTGTCCGCAGATTGTATAAAGAAAGGTCATTCACTTTGTGCCTGTCTATGGAAAAGATGGCTGCCGTCGAAGTACAACCGTCCTAGATTCGAACGTCTTGTTGGCCTCTCCTTTAGCGATCTCTTTTGCACTCACCAGCTTCTCTTGTGATCTTTTCCTTTTCGAATAAAAATACTGTATATATTTTGCGATCTTTGGGTCAGCGCACATGGGTAGTGGATTTTGCTACGCAGCTAAGATCATCTCCAACGGGCTAATTTTGGCGTCGCTTCGGCTTCAGGATGCGCATGCTTGCGCATCGTGGATCGTGTGTGAGCCTATGATGATGATTACTGCTCAAGAGGGATGTCACTGACCTATCTGGTTTCTCTTCTTGCATAATGCATAACTGTTGTGAGGACGCTTGCATGTGGTGTGGCCGCAGACCAGTGGAATGTGCACCTTTGAATGGGTGAGAGAACATTTCTAGAAGCAATGTTGAGATTTGCTACTGCAATGGTGAACGTGTTTAAAGAGGAGTGCTTGAGCGAACCAAATCTCCGGATGAGTGATTTTGGCACTAGAAGTAATGTTAACATTTCTAGAAGTAATTTTTAGGTATGCTTGGATTCGGAGCTACAAGATTAATAAAGTCACAACAGAGATTGTACCTCCGCAAATCCAGACTCTTGATAGGTATATCTGTAGTTCTTCTCTACAAGATTAATGTTACCAGCCTCCTGATCGACCATCTTGTCTGCTATGCGGCCATTTCTTAATCGTTAGGCCTTTAGCTCTTGCTAATGGTCCAAGAGGAATGAAATGCCACATTCTCTTTCGAACATAAAGGGACACATTCTGTTGCCCCTTCGTTCCTTGAGGACCGCGTACCCAGCTGCCAACCTCAGGCGACCGTTCAAACCAAATCGTCGATAAATGCCATATGCTCAGAATTCCACGTGCAGGGGGTCCCTTCCTGTGTACGTAGTCCCCAAACGCATCACTTCCCCTGCACGATGCGGGTGGCCCTTTAGTCCCGAAGGCATTGCAATGTAAGGGCATCTTCAGCCGCGCCCCAGAAAGGCCTTTGCAGGTGATTTTTTCGCGTCGGTGTCAAAAAAACGGCTCAGTCGCGTTCCTAGGAGCCCGATTTTCGCCGGTCTGGGCCGAAAACAGCGCCGGCGGACCCAGGCCGAACCCGGCGCGCTGGGGGTGACCGGGGGCGCCGGGGCGAACTGTTTTAGCGCGAAACAGCCGCGGGTCCGCCGCGTCAGCGACACGGCGCCTCGCCTTCCCCCAACGGCCTCAGTTCCCGCGGGGAATCAATGCCAAGGCTGCCGCCGGTCAGCCTTGCCATTGATTCCTCACGGGCGGCGCGTCACGGGACGGCGCGCCGACGCCTCCCCTCCCTCGCACGCGTACACACGGGTGCGGCGCGGCTATATAGCCGGTGGCCTGCACTCGCCTGTGCCCACACCAGCCCCGCCCCTCGCCGCCGCCCAGCTCCTCCCTCTCCCGAGCGCCGCCGCCCAGCCCCTCCCCCTATCTCTCTACCTCTCCCGAGCCCGTCGCCATGGCGGAACGCTAC